AAAAATGTTTGCATTGGTGATTTTTTAAATCAGCACTGTCTAGAGGGATAAACCAGGAAAATCACAAGAATACAACCTATACCCTTGTTTAAGAAGATGAGGTATTTTGTATGAGGGTTCGTATGAGGGAAACCCTACCTTGTTTGGTGAAGAATCTTTACACTATGATGAAGAAAAACCAAAACAACATAAAAGAATACTAGCAAAACATGAAAAAAAAAAGCCTTGTTGAAGAAGATGAAGGCTTGCAAATGGATCCTTGCTCGAAGAAGATGACATTTCGAATGAGGCTTTGAAATGGATCCTCGATTGTGCATTTGTGAGGGAGGACGCAGGGGGTTGAGAGGGAGTGGCGAGGGAGGCTTTGTGAGAGAGCAGTTAGGGCTTTGAGAGGGAGTGGCGAGGCTTTTGTGAGAGAGGCCCTTCCCATTTGTTTGCTTTTACTTTTTTTTGTTTGTTTCAGCTCCTCGCAGTAAACTCAAACATAATGTTATTTCGGTCCATGCGACTGATCCATTCCTGGGAACATACTTCCCACCTTGTAAGGTGGGGATTACTTTCGCACGATTTGCTCCTTGTGGTGGTAAAACTTTTCCCTATGGGACAAATTTTCATTGGCTTTGAACACGAACCAAACGTGCATAACTGTATGTTTCATATGAAAACTGTTTCATGATGCAAGTTTTCATACGAACCAAACAAGCCCCCAGATGAAGAGGTATTGCCAGTGAAAGTTTCCTATCACTGAAATTCCAACAAGACCAAAAGGATATAAGTGCACCATTGGTCATGGAATCTGCTGTGGGGAGTATCAAGTCCTGTGGGGGTAACCCTCGACATGATCAAGTAAGCCTTCTCGGCTGTTTTTATTTATTTTATTTCATAATATTAGCATACCTTTGGTAATTGTTTAGAAGCATATATTGTACTTAAATTCATAGTGGAAGGTTGGATATTGTTTCTGGGTTGTGTTTATTTGCTTTTGCAGTAGAAGGAAAGATCTTAGGTTGTATTTAGGGTTTTATTTTTTGCTTTACAGCAATGTATTGTGGCCTAAGTGGAATTCAGGTTTGTTAATAAAAGTTAAAGGAGTTTTTTTTGAATTTAATACCTTGAGTTCCATATAGCCACACCTTTCATTGGTATCATGACATCCATATTTTACTGTCGTAGTCTAGGAGTTCTATGTTCTTTTTTGAGTCTAGAAAGATGGGAGCCAAAAGTTTTATAGCTGAGCTCGTCAAGTCTGAAAAATTTGATAGGAAGAACTATACTAGTTGGAAAAGAGAATCATGATATGTCCTTTTCGAAGAGGGACTTAGCCAGATGCTTACTAATAACTGCCCACCTACCCCAACAGGGAATGTTTATGAAAGACAGTCTATTAGAGATGCTTTTGCTCAGTGGGAGCGTAAAACTACGCTAGCTAAGCAGCTCCTACTCATGGACATGGATGACACACGTGCTCTTGAGTGTCAACCCTTGAAGACTACGAAAGAGATTCACAAGAGACTCGAGGCTGATTATGCCACGCCTTCGCTCACTAAAAGAACTATGGCAATGAAACAATACTCAGATGTAAAAATGAGAGGAGGCAAATTAGCGAAACACGTACAACAGTTCAGAGCTCTAGTTCGTCTCGAGGTAGCACAAGTAAAGCTAGGTGAAAACATCCAGGTCCACCACTTGCTGAATTCTTTGCCGGCTCATGGGAAAGCTTCATTTCAGCCCTCACTGCCAGAGAGAGCATGCCAAAGTTGGACGAGATCAGCACCAAGCTTAATGCTAAAGAAGAAAGGATGTTGACTCGTGAAACTTCAGCCATGAATGAATCCGTAAATCGGGTAAATCTTAAACCCAACTCTGATTCATTCAAGAAGAAGAAGGGCAAGGGCAAGGGCAATAATAATAATAAAAATAATGAGAATCAAAAGGGGGATAATGGGTCTAAGAAAAAGAAGGATCTAAAGAATACTCTGTGCTGTAACTACAAGAAATTTGGGCACATTGCAAAGTATTGTGGAGCACCCAAGAATGTGAATCCCAAGGGTGATAGGGAGCATGCTTGTGTGGTCCTAATGACCATGCTAGCCGACCGTAAAGAAGGGTCGTGGTGTTTTGACTCAGACTGCCCATGTGTCAAACACCAAGGGTGGCTCTAGAAACTTTAATCCTGTTTCCATTAGGAATCTACAAAAGCATGGGTGGTAATTAGAAGATTGAAATTATGGGTATTGGAGATTATGTCCTTCACTTTGAGAATGGCAAAAGCATGGTCCTAAAACAAACTCTTTATGCTTCTGATATGAGGAAGAATTTTATTTAGGTCTCTAGAGTAGCTAAGGAAGGTTACTCCATCATTTTTGCTGGTAATAAGGTGGAGGTGAAGTATGGAAATGAGTTGGTCATGAATGGTCTTCTTGAAGACGGTTTCTGCTCCATTCCTACTCAGTTGATGCTTGGCAGGTAAGCATTAGATTAGAACTTGTTTAACCTGATATGATATTTTTATGAGGTTGGGACCAAGTTCTATTGTTTTGGTTTGCTTGTAATAATAGATGCCATTTTGAGGTTATTATTTGTCATTCCTTCACCTATGTTACCAGTCAGATGTAGGCTGATAACAAACCTCTATCCTGCATATGTGACCCTTTCCTTTGGTGGGATTGCAATGCATGATGTACACATTTCTTTGATAAAAATTAAATATCTATATCATAACACAATTTGTTAAATTTTTACATTGGTGGTACCTTTTCATGGTTTCTCACCCACTTAAAAAATGCTGATACTTCCACTTGGTTTGGTGCTCCAGATTTCAATTATGAATTTTAAATGCATTGTCCTCTAAACTTGAATGTAAATTTTCTGAAGTTCTTCCCACATTTTCGAGGATATTATCGAAATTTACTGGTTTATTTCTAGATTGCTCAGATGATTCATTATAAACTAATGGAGCTGCGTACTACTTCAATTAGTTCAATGCATTTCATTTTCAACTAGTGGGGAGCTATCATCATCATCAAAGCCTTGTCCTAACTATTTGAGGTCGGTTGCAATTGACCATCCTACTACAATTAGTTCTAGGCATTTCATTTTCAATTAGTGTGTGTTATCATCATCATCATCATTAGAGCCTTTTACGAACTATTTGGGGTTGGCTGCACGAATCCTGATTCGCCATTCTACTCTATCAAGGGTCATACCTCAACGAGGCCATAAATCCCCAAATCTTTTCTCACTACTTCCAACCATATCGTTTGGGGTCTACCCCTTCCCCTTTTTGGCCTGCTTTCCACTTGAACCAACTCGCACCTTGTAACAGGTGCTGTATTGGGTCTGCGCTGCACATGACCAGGCCACATAAGTCTACTTTCTCTCATCTTTTTGCCTATTGGAGGAACACCTAAGTTTTGTCGAATGTATTCATTTCATATTCTATGCCTTCTTGTCTGGCCACTCATCCATCTCAACATCTTCATCTCAGCTACACTCATTCTATGAGCATATTGTTTCTTGATCGTCCAATATTCCACCCTATAAAGTAAAGCTGGTCTCATAGATGTGCTATAGAACTTGTCCTTCAGCTTCATTAGTATATGACGATCACATAAGACTTTGGTTGCACATCTACGTTTTGCCCACTCAGCTCTAATTCTATGTGTGTCATCTTTCTCAATCTCTCCGTTTTCCTGGATTTTCGACCAAAATATCGACAGTGCGCTCTTTTTGGTATTTTTGGCCATCAATCTTAACTACTTCCTCGTCTCTACTCCTATTATTACTAAACTTGCTTTCTATATACTCTTAGTCTGGCTAATTTTAAAACCTTTAGATTCTAGAGCATCACTCCAAAGTTCTAACTTTGTGTTGACGCCTCTTCGGGTCTCATTGACCAAGTTGATATAATATCTAGAGACTTCTTCTTTTCGAACACCCACCAAATTAAATCTTGAGTTACTCTATCATAAGCTTTCTCTCGATCAATAAAGACCATGTGGAGGTCTTTTTCCTTCGCCCTTAACTTCCCAATTTGTTGTCTTGTTAGAAAATAACATCAATTATTGACCTCCCTAGCAAAACTGAATTGATTTTCTAATACACTCGTTTCATGCCTTAGTTGTAGCTCAATCATTATCTTCCACAGCTTGATAGTGTAGCCCATAAGTTTGATCCCTTAATGGTACGAACATTTCTGTTTGCCTTATTTGTTAATGTAAATAGGTACCACAATACTTTACCTCTATTCATCTAGTATTTTCTGTGTTCTCAGCACCTTGTTGAACAATTTGGTCTGTCAGTCAATGCTGATCTCCCCTATGCACTTCCAAACCTCTATCGGGATACCATCTAGTCGTAAAGGCTTTCCTAGCTTCATCCTCTTTGAAGTTTCTTTTATTTATGATATTCTAATCCTGCAAATGTATCTAATATCTATGACCTCTGCACTCATTTATGCTAACAGTTCTTTTTACAACTGTGTTCTTATTGTGTTTGTCATTTAATAATTTTTGAAAATAAACTCTCCTATTTTCGTTGACCTCTTCATCCTTTACCAAGGCCCTTTGATCCTCACTTTTAATGCATTTAATATGGTTTAGATCCCTACATTTTTTTTTTCTCTCTCATTTTTTGCTAATATGATGATCCTGTTCACTTTTTCTTTGGGTTATATTTCATTTGATAGCTACTTTTTTTATGTGAATTCATATTAAAGAATTATGCAATCAAACTAATAAATAATGGACCTCACATCCATACAAGTGGAGAAAGATGTCTCCTGCCCTGATCTTGGCATTTAAATCTGGATCATAAAATAATATTTATTGATTACCAAGTTTAGCACAGACAAGCATATGGCCTTTGCCTAAATTGCAGTACACAAACTCTAAGGTGTCCTTTTACTAGATCTGTTGATCTTGTTCTGCCTTAAAGGGGACATAACAGCCTGAAAACATGGACTGTCATTTCCTTTTTGTTTCATTTCCCTCTCTGTGCAGGTGCTCGCTATTGCTCTCTTGTTGGTGATTTCAATGGTTGGTCTCCAACAGAAAACTGTGCTAGAGAAGGATACTTTGGTCATGATGACTATGGATACTGGTTGATCATTTCAGAAGATAAACTCCGGGAAGGGGAGCCCCCAGATGAATACTATTTTCAAGAGTACAATTATGTAGATGATTATGACAGTGGTGACAGTGGTGTCGACATCAAAGAGTTGTTTAAAAAAATGGATGATGAATACTGGGAGCCTGGAGAGGACAGGTTCATGAAATCTCCATTTGAAGTGGCTGCTAAGTTGTTTGAAGAAATGTTTGGCCCTAATGGTCCCCAGACCGAAGAAGAATTAGGTGAAATACCAGATGCATTAACCCGGTACAATGCATGGAAAGAGAGTCACAAAGATGAGCCAGGGAACAACTTGCCTTCTTATGATGTCATTGATAATGGCAAGGAATATGATGTTTTTAGTGTTGTAGATGATCCGGTTTCGCGTGAGAAATTCCGTTCTAAAAAACCTCCCCTTGCTTACTGGAAAGAATTGCGAAAAGGAAGAAAAGCATGGATGAAGAAGTATAGCCCTGCTATCCCTCATGGAAGCAAATACAGGGTATATTTTAATACTCCTAATGGTCCATTGGAGCGTATCCCTGCTTGGGCTACATATGTGCTTCCAGGTATGACTGACCATTATGTGCTGCTATCTTCTGTCATTATCTTGTATTATGAATGGTCATCATTGCATTTCTCAGTACGGTGATGTTACATTTGCCTCAAGAATTTGGAAAAATTAGATTTTTTTTATTTTTTTGGTGCATGCACTGACTTTCTTCTATTGTAGATCCATTTAATTTTGTTATTCTAGAGTTTATGAGCTGGTTTGTTTGAGAGAAACTTTGAACCATGCCTAGTGCCCAAAAAAAAAGGAGAAAATGAATGTAACTTTGAACACTGACCTCTTTCATGCAGCTGGGTGTCACACTACTGGAAGTTGAGTGTGATGCTCGCATGTAGAAGACATTTATTTCTATTTTCTATTATCTATCGAAAGGTGTGTATCTAATGTTGCAATCATGCTTGCTATCTACCTCATACTATTTGCTTTGCCTGGTTGGCATTGGTCTGAGGAGCTCTACATTGTGATATCATGGCGTACCATCTAGAGGCATATTTGCTTATATATTATCATTAACCTCAACTAAATATAGGCGTACGATTTAGATGCATATTTGCTTATATATTATCATTAACCTCTACTAAATATAGCATCTATTTCTATCACCAGGCAATTAAATAACAAAAAATAAAAAGTATGCTAGTCTTCAATATGAAATTGCAATGGACTAATCATTTAGGGAAAATGATGTCATCACCCCTCCTAACTTGTGGTTATCATAGACCTCCGGGTATATGTAAACACATAAACTGCCTTCAGGTTAATAAAATCAAAAGACTACCTAATTATTGCTTGTCTTCGTACATTCCGTATTCATCCAGAAATACAACTTCACCAAAAACCCACCTGGAAGTGGCCGGAAAATAAAAAATTGCTGGAAAAGCCACTAGAAAAGCAATGACCACTTTGTACATCCATTTCAGGTCTTGAAAGTCATCAATAAACTAGTTTCAGGTTGCCAGAGCAAGAGAGCAGCAAAAGTGAGATAAACCCACCTCTCCGACAGGCATTTTTGGAACAAATGGTTGATGATCTGTGATTTTTTGAACTTTAGGAGGAAGCAATGTTTCCAAGATCACCGGTCCAAATTAGAACCATCCAACCCAGATCAAGATCAGTATGTAACTCAGTTGATTTCCCTACAAAATCAAGAATCCTCTCGATGGCAACAAAATCATCGGGTTCTATTGGAGAATCGAGTGATTCGATCATGGAATCGTCGATTTCAGATCAACGAATCTGCTGCTTTTTTTTTTTTGGGAATAAAAGGGCCCAATCCGCTTTACGTGTTCATTCTTTTAGTCTACTGCAAGATCTTCAAGACCAATTTGTTGTTTTCTATCTTCCTCCCACATTTTCTCTGAAATTTGTGTTGGATTTCAAATTTGCTCGGAGCCAAATTTGGCATCAATTTTTTGGGGAGGTTTTAAGAAAGTAGTTGATTGCTAATTGTTAACATTGAGAGAGAAGAGAGAAATAGAGAGCAATATTCAAGCACAAGATAAAAGGTTACAATATGGGGGTCTGAAGGTCTGGCTATGTGAAACTAAGGTAATAAATTCAAAAAATAATTTTCTTTTTCTGTTATTAATATACTTGTCTTCCACTTATATGGGCCACAATACAGTGCTGTAAGTGAAAAAATAAAACCCTAAATACTGTGGGAAATAAAATAATTGAGCTTGATTATATTTGATGGGCAGAACTGTCTTTGATCTTTTGCTTAAAACTTATTTGTCGTTTTTTTCTAAGTAAAGATAGTATTGTCCATAGTTTGTAATTAAGTTACAACTTAAATAAGAGGTGTGGTGGTCACAATAGAAGACCACGCCTCTCTCTTTCCCTCTCTCTATCTATCTCTCACACACATCTTTCTCTCGCCCTCCATCTTTAGTTTTTTTCCTCTCTTTCTCTCTAGATCCTGCCTAATTGTTTTCTTCTACTTTAATTTCAACTTGGTATCAGTGCAAAGAAGGAAAAAAAAGTGGGTCAATCTTAAAAAAGATGTGCAAGAACTTTGTTTAGGGCTGACATCATGCTTGGGGTTAGATGTCATCATAATGCCCTAAAGCCTTATTTTTTTTTTCTCCAGTAGTAACTGTGTCAATTTAGGTGAGTTTTTTATGATTACAGATGCCAATCAAATATTTAGTAGAAACCAAGTTTTTGGATGGATTGAGGTTTGTATACTCCAATCAATGAAATACTGTTAGTGCTGTTTTTTAATGTTTTTCTGGAAAAAAGGGAGTGTGATCTGGTCTGAGGGATTAACCAGATCTGTAAAACATTTTATTTAAAGAGATCAAAGGGTATAAATTGCTCCAATTGTTTTAAATATGAGGGTATAACCAGATCTTAACTACAATAGAGAATGTCTCTATAGTAATCAAATATGGAGTCTTACGGACCCCTAATCACGACAGTTGGATTTGATGGCATCAACTATTTAGAATGGACCAGGTGGAAAGAAAGAACTGGGATATAGTGATGGCCGTGTGGAAAAATCAGACCTAAAGGATGCTATAATGCAGGATAGGAGGCTGAAGATATGGCTATTATGAATTGGATACTATTTTCTATGTATCCTAATGTGAGCCAATCCTTTATGAATTGCAATTGCTTTAAGGAATTATGGGATGCAGTTTCTGAGTCCTATTCCCAAAACAAAATATTGCAAGCAACTAAGTAATTTTAAATAGGGTGACTTGTCAATGGGAGACTATTATGCTCATCTACGTGGTTCTTGGAATGAATTAAGCCAGCATTGGCCCATACAATGTTCTTCTTATGCAAAGGAATAGAGAGATTGGAACAAAGGAAGATTTTTTATCTTTTGAAGGGAGTTAATGGAGAGTATGAAACAATCAGTGCGAAAGTTCTCAGTGGCGAGACCTTGCCATCCCGCGGTATTGTTTTCTTCCTTTTCAGTGTGAAGAAACTCGCTGCAAGATAATGGCAGTGTCTACGGGTGAAGCTGAAAGATCTGCCTTATTCACGAGTTCTAGTGATAATCGAGATGGAGGACGTTTTGGGAGAGGGTGGAGGCCGAGGTGGTGGACGTGATTGCAGAAACCCCACATCTGATGAGAAGAAGAAATTAAAATGTACCTAGTGTGGGAAGACTTGGCACACAAGGGAAACATCTTGGTATCTGGTTGGATGCTCATGACGAAACTCTCCACGGGAAAGTTCAGCAACAATCAGTGAAAGTACTGCTCCAGTTACTCAAAGACAACAAGATACTATGTCCTTTGAACTTCAAGAAGAGTTGGTAACTATTCTTAAGAGAGAGCTCCTGGATCTCAAGCAGCAGACTTCCATTAGAGACCCCTCCCCCTTTAAGTCTCACATTGCACAATCAGGTTTATACCCATCATATCTTCGTAAGTAGATCTGAAACCCCTTGGATTATTGACTCTGGAGCAACTAAACATATGCTTGGTATGGTTGAGTTTTTCTCCTCTTATAGCCCTTTCTCTAGTTAGGAATCTATTAAAGTAGTAGATGGTTCTCTTATTCCAATCAAGGGAAAGGGAACTATCCATGTTACTCCTTCTGTTAACTTGTCATCCACCTTGCATGTCCCCAATCTTTCTAGTAACATCTTGTCTGTTAGTAATATCACAAAGAACCTAAATTGCAGTACAACCTTTTTCCCTTCTCATTGTGTTTTCCAGGACTTGATGATGGGAAAGACATTTGGGCATGGTCATGAAAATGGAGGGTTGTACTTTTTGGGGGATTCCTAATCGAGCCTTGACTGCTGCAGCCACATCTTCAATTGCTAATAAAGAAAGGGTACATTTGTGGCACACTTCTCTTGGTAATGCATTGTCTTTTATTTTGCGTTCTTTATTTCATATAATATTTGAGTCTCTTGGTCAAGTTCAACATTTTTGAGTTGTCAAAACATTTTAGAACTTCATTTCCGATTAGTATCAATAAAAAGAGTGATGTTCCTTTCTCTCTTATACACTCAGATGTGTGGGTTCCTTTCCCAGTTGCCTCCGTGTTTGGACTTCGTTTCTTTATTAAATTTGTAAATGACTGTTCTTGATTTACAACTGTGTATCTAATGAAACAAAAAGATGCAAGTTGCAAATCTCTTCGGATTTTATCACAAAATGGTAAAACTCAAAATGATGCATAAATTAAAGACTTGCGGTCTGAGAAGGGGGGGGGGGGGTTGACCTGGTGACTATGTATCAAACAAATTTAGAGATTATCTTCTTGAACAAGGGATTGAGTTTACACACCTTAGCAAAACAGTTTAGCTGAGAGAAAAAGCAGACACTTGTTGAAAGTCACCCGAGCTCTTTTGTTGGGAATGAAAGTTTTAAAATTTTCTGGTTTAAAGCACTTCGCACAACTGCCTTTTTAATAAATCACATGCCCTCTCGTGTTCTTGAGTGAAAATCTCCAGCTGAAATTGTTCATCCTAACTCACCCTTGTTTCCTATAGCTCCCAAGGTGTTTGGTTGTCTATGTTTTGTCCACATATTTGGTCCAAAGAGGGACAAGCATGATGCTATGGTTGTCAAATATAATTTTCTGGGATATCCATCTCATCAAATGGGATACAAGTGTTATGATATTATTACCAAGGTCCGTTATGTCTCCATGGGTGTTATTTTCTTTGAATCAGCCCCATACTTCTCCTATAGAGGTCATGAGTGCTCTCGTCGAGGGAGAATAGGATATAGTTTAGTCCTACACCACTTTTATTTGAAGAGAATGGTTTATCTGAAGGTAATGATGCGCATCCAGAGATGGAGTTGAAGACTTATACCGGGAGGAAGAAAATGGTACAACCCAAAGTTCTAAGCGACTATGCCTTGAATGCTAACCCGTAATTGGGGACTGCTCCTAACTCAGATAACTCTTTGACCCTTTCTGAGAATCCTAGTTTGAACTTACGTTTTGTTATTTGCAAGGGTACACGTTCTTGCACTTAGCATCCCTTAGGAAACTTCTTCTACAATTCTGTATCTTCCTCGCATC